ATATGGTAGAATAACAAGGAAGATGCAACAAAGAAAACAAGATAGACACGAAATAAAAGACGCAAGGACTATGGATAATCAACTCGACTTTGCACAACCTATGCTTTGATACCAACTGCTGTGAACCCCACATATAGAGATGAGAGACCCAAACACCTTTATCGCTAGACAACCCCAAGAATGAGCCCAATCAAGTTATAATAAGCCAAACCCGACCTCGTTACCTGTAAGGAGGCAAGAAGCGAAGCTATGATGTAATGGAGTAAAGAACGCCGCACCCTATAGAGGATGATAGGTTTAGAGATGCCATAAGGGTTGCAATCCTTGATAAGTCAAATTTAGTTCTCAAAAGAACAAAGAAAGAAAATCCTCTCAAATTTATGAAATCTTAAAATTATTGTGTACGTCTGAAATAGAGCTAAACAAGCCTTTATATAGGCCAACACACCACTCCTAACCCTAAAAGGACTCTACTTTTCCTTACACCTTAAGGAGAATAGAAACGAGACCCCAATGGTCTTAAAAATATGTGCAAATAATAGGACTTAAACATAGAACCTAAATCTGACTTAATTAATTAGTTCTAATTATAATTAAGCTAGATATAATAAAATAGGCCCAATATGATTTAAGGAGTCCAATCTTGGAATTGGATCAGATTGACAAGTCTTGGATCCCCCTCCTCTCTTAAGATGGCCCCATGGATCCCCCTCCTCTCTTAAGATGGCCCCAAATTGCTCTCGTGGGCCCTTGGAAGTAGATTCTACCCAACACTCTTGAATTAGCCTCGTGAAGAGCTTCTTTAAGCTTCTTAGCCCTAGCCCACATCATTAGACCATCTTTAATGTGTAATGGATTAGATCTTGGACTTGTAAACTAGCCATTTTGGACCTTCCTTGGAGACCACCTTGATGGTCCATTTAACTCCATGGTTTCCATCAACAAGTGTTACCTTTTCATACCTTGATTTCAAATGAATATCTATTGATAAACTCATCATGTCACTTTTCAAACAACTTGCCAATGTTTTCCTAACAAAATATGACCCACTCTCATTGACACAACATCACACAAAACCTCATTCTTGTATCTCTTAATAGAAAAAAAACACTATTACTTGTTTGTTTACCTCGACTTCTCCACACTCATTTACCCATTGCAATGTATATGGTCTAAGATGTTCAATTACATGCAAGCTCAATTTTTCAACTAACTCAAGACTAGCAACATTGACATAACCAACTCCATCTATTATCAAACGACAGACCTTATTATTGACGATATGACATCGGGTATGCAAAATATTATCTCTCTATGCCTCCTCCTCACTTTTCACTTACATGCTTAAAGCACGCATAATTACCAATTACTTACCACAAACATTATTATCAACAATCACTTCACCCTCTCCTTTAGGATTTTTATCTTTTGACATGTTTAAAACCTATACAAACTTCGTTTGTAATAAAAATTCCTCACACACACTCCCTCATGTGTTTCACTTAAATTGATGCCACTCAACAGTTATGTTTGCTCTCTTTTAGGCTGTTTCTTTAATATGTTCACACTCTCTAGGCTTTTACCACTCTAACTCCTTTTGGTTCTTCTGCAAACTAATCCAAACCACACAAGAACTAACCAATTGCAAGTGATTCATTAACTTCACTTTCCAAGGATCAGATTTCGGATAGATTTGGAATAAGGAATTAACAAACTAATTCAAATAAGAATTTAATGTTTTTGAATACTAAGAATGATACCAAAACTAACTTGAATTGAATTTAAACAAGTCAATAACAAATGAGAGACAACGAGAGAAAACAAATCAGACTTCTTTTTATGCTTTTTTTTCTTTTTTGAACTGGAACTAACTTAATTTGGAACAAAACCAAAAAGACATGAAATAGAACAAAAGATAATGAAAAATAACATAATTTATATTGAAAAATGAATTTAACTACAAATCAGACTCTCTCTCTCTCTCTCTCTCTCTCTCTCTCTCTCTCTCTCTCTCTCTCTATATATATATATATATATATATATATATATATATATATATATAAGACTCAATTTATCAAGCAAAGGAACACGAGACTCAAACAAGAAAAGCTTTAGCAAAATAGCAAGGAAGACACAACAAAGAAAACATGACTTAACTATGGATAACCAACCTAACTTTGCACAACTAGGCTTTGATACCAACTAATGTGAACCCTAGTATTAAGACGAGAGACCCAAACACCTTTATTGCTAGATAACCCTAAGAATGTGCCCAATCGAGGTTATAATAAGTGAAACCAAACCGATTGCCTATAAGGAGGCAAGAACGGAAGTTATATTGCAACGGAATGAAGAATGCCACATCCTATGGAGGATGATAAGTTTAGAGATACCATTAGGGTTGGAAATCCTTGATAAGTCAGATTTAGTTATCAAAAGAACAAAGGAAGAAAATCCTCTCAAATTTATTAACTCTCAAAATTATTGTGTCAGTTTAAAATAAAAACTAAACAAGCCTTTAAATAGGCTAACATGCCATTCCTAACCCTGAAAGAACCCTACTTTTCCTTGCCACCTAAGGAGAATAGAAGTAGACCCTAATGGTCTTAAAAACATATGCAAATAATAGGACTTAAATATAGAGCCCAAATATGACTTACTTAATTACGTCTAATTATAATTAAGCTAGATATAATAAATTAAGCTCAATATGATTTAAGAAGTGTAATCTTGGAATTAGATGAAATTGACAAGTCTTAGATCCCTTTCTTCTCTTAAGATGGCACCACATTGCTTCCTTGAGCCCTTGGAAGTGCATTCTGCCCAACACTCTTGAATCAGCCCATGGAGAGCTTCTTTAAGCTTCTTATCCCTAACCCACATCATTGGATCATCTTTAATATGTAATGGATCAAATCATAGGCTTACAAACTTGTCATCTTGGATCTCCCTTGGAGACGCCACCTTGTCGGCCAATTTGGCTCATTGGTTTCCATCAATACAACCTTGACTTTCTTTATTCTCATCATTAAAACGGGTATGCTATAACCTTATCCTCCATATTAGGTAAACACATTTCAATAGCTTTAAGTATTGGAGATATCCTTAATCATCGAATTGACGAGTTAATAGGATATGTTGAAATGATATGTTTTTACCCATTGGTCTCTAATAATATTGACTATAGAGACATTTCAAATAATCAAATTATTTTGCATCATATAAGTAATAGGTAATTATGAAAGAACTCATTTCTATCTCTAACTAGCTATATACATTTTTACCAATTGAAGGCGATGTAGGACTAATAGAAAGGAAGGTTTGGGGGGCCATCTCTAATGAACAACTGTATACATTTTATAACAACATAACCGATAGTGTCGACCTTACCTAGATTGGTAATCCTCCATATGATAATAGAATTTGCCAGAGCTAGTAATACTAACCAGCTAGTCAATGTTTAACAATGATAATCTATAAAGGATGATAGAGAGGGAGAGAGGACCTTATCTTGATATTATGGTATCTCACTAGGCATGCCTAGTATGATTAACTATACCAATTCTTATGAAAAGATCAGTTTAATAACATGATCAATTAATTAACTCCTAAGGAGATATCCAATTTATAAAATCAGGTTGATGATGGTGAATAATTTAATCGATGAGCCTCTTTGGTATAGTTAATCATGATGCAATTCAAGATGGAGTTATAAAGATATAGGTACTTTGGTCGAATGAGAGATTAAATTGTTCATTATATATTAGAACCCTCGACCTTACATTTTTACCAATTATTCAAATTCCCTACTAATAGCTCTCGTGACCTTATAAACTCGAGAAAAGTAAAAACGGATTACTCATAGTTATATGATATAGCTAACCTCCGAGGGGGAATTAATACTGGTTAAACACAGTATATACTTCATGACTTGGGCAACCTATTAAACACAGGTAACAAACTATGTGCATATCATAAGATATTTAGGGAGATTTATATACCCTTAACCATGGAAGTAATATATTACGAATTTATAATAAAGGGATACTCCTTTTGATGGTCACACTATATTCATTGTAATTACCTTATCCTTTATTTTGATAATTGTTTGATTATACCCTTAGCTATACAATTTATATAATTTTTATAATATCATAAAACCCCTATTGTTATATACAATAGTATGACTAAAAATAGTTATTTGAATGGATTAGACCATGATAATCTGTATGATGAAGGAAAGAGGGACCTATTAAATTTCTCTCCACCTTGGTAATATCCATCCTTAATTAGGTTTACCTTTATCTACTAAACTAATATTGACCTATGAATTAGCCAACCAATATATTATGAAGGAGTTAAAACAAAAATGATATAGACAATCTCCAAGAGAATACCTCCTAACTAGCATACAATATATTGTCTATAGAATTTGTAAAACAATAGGTTAAGTGATATGTTCTCTATAGAGAGGAGACGATTGATGTGAGATATTTTAGTATCCATATAACGAGTATAGGTGCTAAGATACCTCTTTGATCACATATTTAGATCAATATATTGGTGCCAATAATGACTCAATTTAGGGTACGCGAATAAACTAGGGGGTTATTATATGGACAATTAGGCTTTATCAATTCCATAGCTCCAAAGGAAATATTGCCTTTGTATAGTAATGGTGATGACCCCTAATAGATGGATATACCATTTTAGAGCTAATAAACCTCTCTCTTTACTTAATCACTTTATTCCTCAACAGTTGTAATGCCTACTTGGCAAATCAATATTATCATATACTCCAGGATATCATTGGGAGTATATAGCTATTGGCCCAATAATAAGTTTAGGACCTAGAGATGACGGATCTTAGATGACGGACAAGATCCATTTTCATGATGGCAATGTTTCCTAGATACTTGTATCCAAGAGTACAGGGAATCTATATTATACCATATTAATGGGGCTATGGAAAAATCTTTATTAGCCCATTTAATTCTTACCTCATAATAGTCCCATCATGTGATGCTTTATACACATAATCTCTATTATGAGTGTAAGGAATGTTCCTACAGTAAATATCTCTCCCCTCCTATAGCTAATAATTATTAATCAAGTGAGGGTCCTTGGTAGTTAATCTTATAGGAACAATCCTATTAGTCCAAGTGACTAGACAAGTTGGGCCTTATCCTCCATAAGCCATAAAGTTACAGGACCAGTATGCATTAAGTTTATTGGGGTGCATAATATGTTATCATTGTACTATAGGCTCTCCATAGTTCTGATTAAGTACTTTATAATGTCTATAACATTATGGCTTACCAATTTGATTGCCTCATGTTTAACTCTTTAGTATATAATAATATTATAATGAGGTTGTCAAAATAATTATTTCATTGGGGTTCTCATAAATTCTGGCATAAAAAAAGATTATGGTTTATTAACCAACAATGTACTAATTATTTTGAGATAATTATTAAGGTGATAACCAATATAGGTTCTAGAATACGAGCTAATTATTTTCATAATTTATTGACATTGATAGGATCATCCCCTATTAAATTATAAATTTCTATGTAGTTATCACAATCATATAAACTTATTGAGATTATGAATAATTACTATGGTTACTGATAATCTCAATTAATTGGTAACTAGATTTATATAGGATGTATGTTTTATACTCTACTTATGGGATATCGAGGGCATATGAGAATAAACAATCTATACTCATTCGATCTAGTTTATACGCATTTATAACTATATGAAGTTGAATAGTAATTATACGTGCATGATAGAGAAATTATGATAGAGTCCAACTAATAAGCATTCTAAAAAAGAGTGAATATAAAACATACTGGCTAATTTATATTTGGAATACCTATTATCTCGATACATTTATCAAATACCTATTATAACCATAAGGAATTGGCTATAATAATATAGAAAGCTTAGTCAAAATGAGGGGAAGAGAGAATAATCTTATGAGAGGACCATAAAGAGGGAGAGTCCCACTGTATATTTCAATATCTATTCATAATATATTAGCTGGCTAATTCGTAGGCAAGCAACTAGGGACTACCTACACTAATAATTCGAGCAGCCATAATTAGCCCCTTTATATTAAATAAAGAGCATGGCCAATAATCTCTATATGGCAATAAATTGATAGCATACCCTAGATTGAGTCTCTAAAGATTGATGGTATAATATTATCCCCAATTTTGATCCTAAATATCATCCGAGCCGTTAATCCAATTAAGGAATATAAGATGCTTTCTCTTACTATTTCCATTTAAACGAGATGGTGAAATATTATTCAATTTATGGGATAATATTATACCAATCGTTTATTAAGATCCTAGTATAATACCAATCTTTAAAATACCAAGAAAGGAAAGGTATAGTATAATAGATTTATGGCTGCTCATCCTAAAAGTCATATAGACAAACATCTTATATTAAATTATCAATAATACCGTTGGAGAGGACTAGAGAGGAGGGAGGTGGAGAGAGGGGGAAATAATAATGAAAGAGGAAAATGAGTGAAAACGAAGGGGTTTGATAATAGGAATTGGATAGGACTCTCTCTACCTCCCTCCTCTCTATTCCTTCCCTCACTCGTCAAGGCCAATCATTAGCTATAACTAATCAAATAGCTTCCTTGATATCAAAACATAAAAGTCAATATAGATGAGGCATTATTTGTAGTAGGGTATTAATAGAGTACAACTAGGTTATGATCCTGTAGATTAGTTTGAAAAGAGTTAATATTTACTAACTATTGCATCATTATGTTCAGGGGCATTTAATCTAATGCTTGAGGTACTCTATAATTTATCACTCCTCTCCTTCTCTCCCTCTATTTCTCCCCTAGCATAAGAATCAAGCTATCTTAAATCATAAGGAGAGGTATCCTTCTTTATTTTCACTAATTATGCAAAAAGCACTTGTCAAAATGGCTTTTTGAGATATAGACCTTGGTCTATAGAAGGCTAATGATTGAGAGAGTCTCTCTTTGTTATAAAGTATCTTGAAGAACCAAGATAACAATATCTAGTAGGGAAAGGGTGAATATGTATAGAGTTAGATGCTCTATAATGGTATGGACTAACGATAAAAAAATCTCTTGTTTAGGCCTATATGATATCATGGTTATTCAAATGGAAAACACTCTAATGGAACTTGAAAAGAAATCTCATACCTTGATATTATCTATCAAATGATTATTAAAGTCTTTCTAGTATATGCCAATTATTCCCTCCTCTCTCTACGCTCATTAACAATAAGGGTCATCCACTTTTTGTTGGCCATTATGCATAATTTTAGTGGGCGATTAAAATAGTTAATATCTCCCTAAATTCCACAAATAATCCCAATATTTTTTACTACCTACACATAAAATATTTCTTTATTTAAATGATCATATAGTTCTAATATATTAGATATAGTCAATATCTAGCATATTATTATTTAAATATGGTAATAATACCTCTCGGTCATTGATAATAGGCAAGAGATGAGGAATTAATCTCCCAATAGGTCTATCGTATAGGAGGGACACTATAAGTATTCTGATAGCAACATTATATAGAATTTTCTGTAAATAATTGTTTCCAATAGATGTTTTATTTAAAGATTATCTTTCCAAGAATCCCATTTTGATGTAATGACGTTGAAACAAGGGTGGCTATTCACCGTGACTATTTAGATCATGATGCAATTTTAATACCTATTTATGTTGTTGGAGGAGAGCCTGCTTGTTTATGAATTTACAGTGTACATCGTTAGATTAACCAATATATTAGAATGAGTAAAAAGGAGGGCCATATTGGTCTTTTAAAGATAATTTAAATTAGTGCCATATTGAATATTTACGGTGAGAAATATGAACTATACTAGGTTATTTAGGGCCTTATAATGGAATAAAATTATAGACTGAAAATGGTTATTGGATTACTAACTTCTACAAGGTTATTATAAATAGGCGTACCATGCATATAGGATACATCTTAATTATAGGGAAAAATTACTAGTTGTCAAGGGACCATTTATGTAAGATGTCATTGCATAAGTCATTGATTAGAAGATGCGATTAATTGGTTCCTAACTAGAGGTCGAGGTTGACAAACTATAGATTTATTATGGATAATGACAAGTAACCTCTTGTCAGAGAGGGTATACATGATTATTAAGATATACTAATTCGAGTACTATGTTACTTGCCAATTAGGGGATGTAATAGCCCCCTATTTATTATTAATCTCATCCCTTATATAGATAAGAATGGTAATGGTTCTTAGGAAGAATATTTATACACCAAAATTCTAGGTTGATGCTCACTAATTAGGACGCTATAATAGAGAGGTTGTCTCATGTATCCTCTCCAAGCATACTAGTTGATAAGGTGTAGTTCTCCCAAACTAGTGATGTAAATATTATTCCCCAAAGGTTTATACTCACCTTATTCTAGTATGAGTTTTTTAATTCAGTATCCATTATCAATTTAGAAATGCCCTCCTTATTTCATTATACCCTAGAGGATATCCCATTATAGGATATCTAATTCCTATTGACATGGTAACCAAATAATGTACCCTTCCTCTCTATTTCAAGATATGATTTGTTGTAACATGAAGGTATATTTGATGATTATAGCAACCCATGTCCTAAAACTTATTGAGTAATTATGATAAAAGAATGCCATTTTGTGACAATTAAAAGGAGTGTGGCCTTTTATAAATTGGCATATCCTAAGAAAGTATAGGGATGAATAATATCACTGAAGAAAACTAATGAGACTAAACTTAATTATTGCATAATAAGAGAGATGACTTAGGGTTATAATCATCCGATAACCCTTCATGTTACTATTGGGAACAATTTATGGTCAACGATATCAATATTATAATTATTCCCGACAAGAAAGGGGCGAGGGGAGATAAAAATATAACACTTATTATAAACTAAAAGGTTTATGGATTGGCTATGATCAATTTGCTATCTGATCCCCATCTGACGTAATGGTTTATTATGGTAAAATATCTCTCCCTCTCTCCTTCTTGTCCCAAATTGATTAAGATAAAGTCGTATAAATATAATTAGGGTATCCATGAAAGAACTATTACATTACAAGAGGGACTAATATATTCACGGTACAGTTCATTGTGTAGGGGATAATGGACATAGATGGTTCCTAATATCATTAAATTGGTTAATAATAGCTATAAGTTACGATCCATCCTGGAAAACTATATTTTTACATGAAAGGCATCCCTTATCAAGAGAGATTACTATTGATAATGTACTTATTCCACTCTTATGAACCATAATAAACACGAAGGGGGAATGAAGGGTGTGTTGATGAACGGTCTCTAAATATAATTACGGATATATAGTCCCTTATACCATTACATCGTCCCTTTATATATAATGTCTAATAATAAATCATATTATTCAAATACCATACAATGTAGGTTATTCCAATAACCATTACTTATTTTAAGATTTTGATACATAATTAGAGACCCAATCAAGTTAATATAGATTTCTATTAATGGTTGAGAATACACAATTAATAATTATAACCCAAGAGACTTTCTCCTACAATTTTGAGGTTATAAATAATATGATTATAATCAATTACCGCCAATCCTTATTGTAAATTTATAGGTAATTGTCCACAAAAAATAATTTAGACTGTGTACAACCTTAGATATCTCTTAATTTATTCTTCATTCCCACATATTATTTATAGTCACTTGTCGGATAATCATTAAAGAGGTTAGGGGATACTATTATATACTATAATAGTTATTAAAGGAGCTACTTTTGATACATAATGATTGTTATTTGACAAATTCCTAATAGACCATAATTTATGGACCCCTATTAATCTATTAAATCATAACCAATCTTAAAGAAATAATTAGTTATATAAGCATACCTGCAAGTTGGGACCATAAATTATGGTTCAAACATAGATTCCTATGAATAGGTTGAATATATGAGCAATATAGTTCGCCTATTAAATATCATCCATGCTTTGATATTACTAGTATAGACGTTGATATAGTTATTTTGAGGTATATATACTAGTATCACTAGTGGGGACTAAGCTCAAATAATAGATTATGAATCGGGGAAACTATATTGAGGTCTAACTTATAGCAATATTGCATTTAAATACTATTAACCTTGGAAAATATTGAGATGCGTGTATGATAATATTGATGCAAAATAGTAAGGACCATTCGACAGTAATTATTGGACAATGAGCAATAAATATAGCCAACATATATTTATGCGGCATTCTACTATATTATGATCTTAGTATAGAAAAACTTTCATATAGTCTATAATACACTCTTTAACTCTTAGGAGAGTATATTTGGACTAATATCAAGAATACAAGCACTAACCAATTATGCTCACTTGATTATCTAACTTGGATACGGAGTAAATATACTAGTCTCTAATCATAGTCTTATGAAATTATACACATAATAGTTATATCTCAATTCGTCACATAGAGATACTAATGACTCAACTTTGCCAAGAAAATAGCGTCAATGTTTTAATTGAAAGACTTGGCTAATGGAGTGGTTATGGTACCTCCATCTTGACAAGTAGACTATTGTTACCTACTATGGCCCCTAATTATAATCTCTCAATGGGTTCCCATATCGTTTCTTCATATCCCTTTGTATTGAATTAAGTATAGTTCTATATAGTCATGCCTAAATTTAGTCGACATTGACCCTTCTTTTTAGTTCTCTACCAAGAGGTGTACTCTATTTAGAATCTCTTAAGTATCATTCTTAGAAATTGAATACAATGTAATTACATCATATTTAATTTGAAATGTAAAAAGATAATAGTCACATATATTTAGTCACTCAAACTAAAGGGAATAATTATGGCAAAGATGTACAAGTTGGGTAATACCTTGATTTAAACATTGTTAATAGATTAGGTCACTTTTATGAATTTATATTGATCAGAGGAGGGAATGAATCTATTATATTTAAACCTACCACTCAATTCCTTGGAAATAATCATATCCTCCATTGAAAACATGGTGTATAATACTTATTGACATGGAGAGAAAAAGACATCTAGAATCTTTATGAGTAATCCCATACCTGATTACAATGGAATACCAATATACTAAAATCTGAGCTATATAGTAAAGCTACTCTCCATAATTAGGGAAATAACTATATCAACCGTTATTCAAATATGCCAAATGTACCATCAAGAGAAGTGCACTATATATATTTTTAGTTAACTTAATTGACTTAAAAAGTTTGAAGAACGTTAATCGGTATTAATGTATAGTGTAATTAATATATAGAGGCCCTCACGAGCCTTAAATTGATTCTGGATATCCCATCTAAATGGAAGTATAGTCAATCATTTTACTCATCCTATTCTCATGCTCTAAAGTGACTCCATATTAAATCAAAGGTAGTAGACAATCTCATTGTGAGTTGGGGTATTTGGTTAATAGATTGGTTGATCATGGGATATTACCAAAAAGGGTGTACTCTATTTTTAAATAGCTAACCATAACAATATCTAGGGGATATAGTGATTTCATCCCCTAGACGACTAGGATTATTAAACTATCATAGTTTCTTTCCCCTCCAGGGAGAAACTAATGTTATTCCAATAATTTAGGATTATTATTTAACAAATTGGTCAATGATAATGTAATACATAGGTAACCATATGATACTATAGTATCTAACACTAGTGGAGAGTGAGGGCTATCATATGGGGCTATAATAGAGGAGACATCAAAGATTACTCGGGACTATTAGTCGGATAAGTTATCCTTAAAATCATATCATGGTATTCCTAGAGATAATCTTATTGACCATCCAACCAATCTATAGAATAGTTTCATTGCCAAAAAGGAGAAGTAGGACTTCATAAATATTCGTGATGCACAACATAAAAGGCACTAGATTGTCCATAACAATTATGGAGGCTCTATCAGAATAATATTAGTTTGTAATAATTTGATAGGTTTCATCCCTCCCTCACCATATAAGGGTAAAAGTTTATGACGTTGCATAGGACTATGATAGATACTTTTGCCTTATGATAGAGCATTCTATCCATAGAAGTATCCCACTCCGAATAGTCCCTCTCCCTTGACTCAGTGATTCAACACTTGTACCTAACTATCAACGTCAATTCCCTACTTAGTTCCTTTGTATTTACTTGTGATATTCTCATCGTACAAGTCTAGAATTATCAATTATGTTATTAACTTATAGGGGCTATCCGCTAGTTTGGGAGAACTAATATGACTAAATATTATTAGCTATTGATCACCCTTGTATGATGTATAATCATTATCCCTTAATTCACCTATGATGTCACACAATATAATATATAGATATCTAATCCGTTATAGATATAGAGCATGGGCAAAGTATAAACTCTCCATGTTCATTAATGTGGTTTTCTTATTTTTAGCTTTGGAGTTATCTTCACCATGGTCCTATATATAATAGGTCTATGTTTTTGGGCTCTTTCCTCAAAATGCCTTCTATTCACGAGTACATAAGAAATCCCAATAGTAACATACATTTAATTATGAAATTTTTGTTATTACATATATTATCATAGCATATACAATGTCTCATGATAATCAGGATTACTGATTTTTTATCAATACCCATATATTATGTATAGATCACAAAGTAATAGAGTGATCATAATAGTATATTCCTGTCATTGTACCATAAGTGTTATAAATAATAAGAGAGGGGATGCATGAATATCAGTTTTGTAAGAGAGATTATACAATTCTAGTGAATATAGCTATCACCCGTTACAAAATGCTTAATTACTTGTATAAAGAGTAAAACCTACTATATAGGAGAATTAATGCATTTGGAAAAACGAATAGGATAATAGCTATATTCACTAGAATTGTATAATCTCTCTTATATTTGTCAATATTACTAATGAGAGTGATAACTAAACCAATTCATAGGACATATCTCATGTTATATTATACTTATAGGGTTTTCCCCACTTGTATATAGGGCCTCATTATTTTTGTTCAAATAATATGATTTGTAGTATTATTTTAATTTTAGTTACTCTTTGCCATCTCTCTATAACATAGGAATATATAGCCCACAAGTGAGCTAGGTTCTCAAAGGCATGCCATTGTATTCAAGTCTGTAGATCTCCTAAGTAAGGGGGATAATATTGATTTGGTTATCCTTATCCAATTGCTTATGTCGTTGCCTTATGTTCGAAGTGTATTTGTTTAATTGGTTTTCAACTAGGGGTTGGTCTAAAAATACACAATGAGGCCTTTCTATTGCTAAACCATAGAGATTGGACACATATTAGGACTCTCTTTATTGATAAGAGAATGTCAATACTCTTGCCAAGTTAGGCAAAATATTTTTTGGGGTATATACTTACTTGGCATAATTTGGAATGACTATTTATGTTAACTAATTTTATGGATCTCTCTATTTAACTCTATACCTAATATTAGATCTATGGATAGACTTACCTAGTTAGACTAACTAATGATTGCCTTAAATTCAGCATTGTCTTCCATATACTAATCATACATTCGAGAACATGACTTGTGCAAACTATGTCTCCTTAATAAACTATTGTATTCCTTTTTAAAGGGTTGATTCTTTGAGTCAATTACAATGGCCAATCGTTAGTTGAACCTACGGAGAGATGATTAGTGGAACCTATGGAGAGACGATGTAAACATACTAGTAGATTCCTCCTAGGAGAGATAGATGGAGAGGGAGAGGGGAGAGATTATGGATGAGCTACCTACCTCGGGATAAGTTGGTAACTAGTTTGTCCAATTTTAGTAAAGAATGAGGGATATTATAATAATATTCATTGACAAGGAAGAAAGCTAAATACGAGTGTGATGAGGATTTTCTATTATCAAAACCACTACATTTAATTAAATTTCTATTTATGAAGAGGAATCTGCTAGTATGTTTACATCATCTCCCTCATTATTAGTTGGCTCGAAATTCAAGATAAAAAGGCAATCATGAACATAAGCACTCATAAATAGATACCCATGATATAAGTGTGGGAAATCCCACACGGTCGTGAGGGTAATCTCCCTTGTCTACCCCCTAATATATTATTAGACTTTGTTAGGTTGAGATACCCACACGATCGTGTGGGCTCATGAGCAATCATGGTCGGATAATTATTCAATATAATTAATTTAGGGATAATATTCCAGAGAATGAGAGAATCCCTATCTCCCATATGGGATATACCATCTCTCCACTAATTGAGAACAATGGTGCCACATAATAAAGGACTAACCATCATTAAATTTGGCTTGAATACACATATATTCTTGCCAAATAACCTACCATATGATAGGTATGAATATGTAACACACATTGTAATTGATCTTCCCTATTGTAAGTTATTCTTAAGTGATGGCCCTTTCAATTACATATTAAGAGGGAGTACGTATATATGATATGGAATAATGTCTCATATAAGGTGTTGGTTTTCTAGTGATCCTCTTTGAGAATTGAAAGAGGGAGACTTGCTTATTACCTTTTTTAGAGGTTTTGTCTATTACTCGAAAAACTATAGCCAATAAGAAAAACCAATCATTTGGTCTCAGAAGGAGACATTGATAAGTAATAACTTTCTCCACATGCATAGGGGTCAAAGATATAAATTAGCTAATATGACATGTGCTTGGAATTAATAATTGAAAGATGATCATTTCCCAAATAAAAATGTTATACGCCACTTAGCCACTAAGTTACATGTAGGAGCCTTAATAGAAGCACTATTATATCTCATGTTAATTATGAGGAGCAAAATAGAATAGGTTATTCCTAGTTAATATTATGATACCGAATTGTTAATTGCACTTTTGAATACCTAGTTATGATAGATAATTGAATCGAGATATAATTGATATAAGTGAAGAGATTGCCTTATATAGCTTAAACAAGATGATTACGAGTGTTTAAGTTGATATTGCATTTAGAATTCTTATACCATTTTTCTATGTAGTTGATCCATAGTTTATAGAAATATGTAAAACTCTAAAGATTGATCTATAACTATAACCCACATGGATGATGATAACATCTACAAAGAGAATCATTGTACCTACATCACTACTCATTATAACTTTGGATAATGAGTAAATTAGGGACATATTCATTCATGACTTAGTCTTCTCTTCTATCTTGGATTGCTAAATTTCTTGGATCAGCTTAAGATGGAATAATTATTTTCTAATCTTAGAAAATTATACATTGCTTATAAATAATAACTCACTCCAACCCTTTTAGTGATCTACTAATTGTATAATAATCTCATATGTTAATATTATTAGAAGACTCAATTTAAGGTATGCACATAAGCCCTTGCTCACTAGCATTGATTTTCTTATGATAGGGACCATAGGATAAGAATATAGCTTATAATAGTAATCACCATAGATAGGGGTTACTCATATTATAATGGGTGACATTATTCCTTATTAGTGATTATTATAGGTTGTATAATCCTTTACCGAGGAGAAACATAATCGAGGGTATTTTTAGGAATCGACAATACCAATCAATCCCCTAGTGCTCTCCCACCATAAATATTGTCTATAACACATGACTTTCAAGCATTTTTTCCTCCTATGCCTAGCTAAGATTAGCCGACAAATTTTAGTTAAAGGTGGAATTATGCCTAAAAGGGAGTTATCCCATCACACAGATTATCAATAAACCTCTCAAATAGCCATTAAACGAGAATCATGTAACCAAACAAATAGTTAGATATATTCCTCCTTATTGTTAATAATAACTAGACAATTTTATCTAAACTTTAATCAGGTCCTTACATAATCCTCATCACGCTCGTATCCTAGCTTATGCCATGATACAATCAAATTAGCTATCATGTCTGTTAGTGAATAGGGGAACTCTTATTGGACTCTTGAGTCATGAGGATCCAATTGGTAATATCTCTCATCTTGAGGGATATAAGGATGACCACAAATATATAGGCCAACTATCATGTACAATATGGCCTATATAAAGAGAAAGTGAGACCAACATATTAATCCTATATTAGGTCATTATCCTCATTAGATAGGAGTTATAATGCTGGTATTATGATTATTTAATATACCAATTATAATCAATGTCACTACCCAACGTCCGATGGGACTCCCCAAAAGAAAATTAAAGGTCCGAGCATTAATTATTTACAAAATTATTTACAAAGTTTTGGAGTCGCCACCTAGTATTTGAGGAACTAGGAACCTAAAAGTAACACTCGGTTCGGAGATTCCTAAGGTAAGGAGTTGGTTACACTTTTAGGAAGATATTTAATCACCTAAAAGCGCCCTTTTCGAAAAAGGTACCATGTATGATTTATTTTTAAATTATCTCCTAAAATCCATGCCAAGCTATTTTCTAAATTTTTTTATCTCCTATTTTCTTTTAGACTAAATGAATTTTTTTAAATTTGGGCTCGGCATCATATTAAAAGGATCGTCGGTCCCTTTTGTTGGGTGACATATCGATTCAAACATTGGATCAACTAAAAAGCCTTGACACACCCGGCGTGTCGGAGGACATCTTGATTAAAAGGTGATTTTTGGTGACGTTAACCCCTATCAAATAGGAGGCTTCGTCGAAAGTTTTGAATTTGGTGACGTCGGTCCCTATTAGATAGGAGACTTCGTCGAATTTATTATTATTATTTTTAATGACGTCAATCCCTACCGGATAGGAGACTTCATCAAGATTTTTTTTCTAGCAATACATATTAAAGAAAAGAAAATAATAATAATAATAATAATAATAATAATAATAATAATAATAATTAAAATAACAAATCTAAATTAAATACCTAAAAAACGACAAGAAATAAAAATAAACATGCTAAAAAATAAATAATAAAAGAAATAAAATCATCCTATATAAACAGAGTTAAAAAAATAAGTGAATAATAAAAGGAAAAAAACAAACAATCTATGCCTAAAATATTAACCCATAACTTTTACTCTTTTTTTTTTATATACCCATCCCCATTTTTCTTTTTTCGTCTTATTTTTTCTTCCTAATTCTATTTTTTTTATTTCTTTATTACCCCTCTTTTTTT